CCTCAAAGAGGGTGGTGTGGAGCCAAATCGCTGGGTTTGGTGATGAAATGCCCTTTGCAAAAAGCAAGGGCTGAAATCTCAAAGCAATCCAAAACACCAACTAAGGGAGAATAAGAAATGGAACGACCCCGAAAATAAGCGTCCGTCCGATCTAGTTTCTGGTTTTCGGAAGATCCCTTCGCCCGACGCAGGACTTTGGCTGTAGACGCGACTGAGGCAACCCGCCTGTCATCTTCTTCAGCGCCTCCCGCCGGCAAAAGCTGTAGTCGTGCTTTCGCCTTCAAGCACGTGAAGCAAAAACTTGCGCTGAAAACTCAGGCGATGCATGAACAGAAGGTGTAAGGCAAGCTGGTTCCTTCTCGGATGGTGAGCCTCTTAAACTGAGAAGCGCACCTGCTTATCAAATCCACCCCGAAACGTCGGCATGAAATGGTCGACCCAGAACCATGTAAAGAATGAAAAAGGCGGCTGCAGCCATTTATGGTTGGGATTGTCTCTTGCTAAGCTTCACTTACCCGGGTTTTGATTGCGACACATGTGTTCATCTAAACTGCCGTCAGATCGCCACGCTAGAAAAAACAGTCTCACCTCCCTCCCTCCAGCAGAGTTTGTCTGGCTGAAAAAAATGTGGGTGTCAATTTCCCTCTGCTCGCTGGAAAAACACCAAATCCCAAAACGTGCGGGATCTCCCCTTCAAGGCGACCCACCGGGGGGAAAAAAAAAAAAAAGAAGAGCGGCGCTCTCCCGCTCGCGTTCAAACTTGTGCGTTGCGAGACCCGCACCCCGAGACGGCCAAAAAAAAAAAGTCGCCCCGGCCGGACGCTGTGGGCTTCGCCCAAAACGAGTCCGAGGGGCGCGGGCTGGTCGGCCATGACCTGCAGCATCGCCTCCTTCACGACCTCCGGGCCGCAGGCCACCTCCGGCCGCCTCAGCTGCAGCGCCGCCTGCATCACCTGACGAACCCTCGCGCGAAACGCGACACGCGACACGCCTCGGCTCGGCCGTGGGTGAAAACGGGAGCCCAAAAGGACACCCACCGAAAGAGTGCAGCCAACCTATTGAGGTTCCATGAGGTTCCCCTGTTTTGGAGAAAAAAAATAAACTTCTGGAATTGCTCTCCGGGGGTAGGTAGCCTCGGGGGGTGGGTGCTTGGGACCCCTTTTCGGGTTCCGTCGGGTTAAAAAAGCAAGAAACACTAACCCCCCACCCACGGAAAAAAAGGAGGAAACGTCGCCGAGTCGAGTTGTCGTCGAGTTGTCTGCGCAAAACAGGCAAAGAGCATCAGGATTGAAACGCTTCTTCTACGTTTGTCACAAAAAAGGTTTGCTTATAACTTAGGTCATTGTGCAAATTCACAAGAACCTCAAATGAAGCAGATCTCATTTGCCATGTTCAAATGACAAGCTGCAAGCCTTTGAGTTCCACCGGAACGCTCACACGCATTTGGCAGATCGTCTCAAAAGCAATGGGACGGAGGGGCCCACATGTTAGCCTGCGCATTTGTAGCGCAAGCTCAACCCGTTGTTCCCTGCAAAGTGTAGCCCAATATCACCCGCTTCTCATCCCCGACTCAAACCTCTTTGCCTGATGCGCCCTCTCCAAGGTCTGCATCGTGTTCCACAGAGTGTCATCCAGGTCGAAGACGGCGCACTTGATGCCGCCGATGGGCATATCGCAGCGCGCTCCGCGCACGGCGCGCAGCGCGCCACAGACGCAGACGGGCCGCACCGTGGCGCAGGCAGGTTGACACGCTGGTCCGTGGTGTGCTCGAACGCTTGTTGGCTAGAAGCAAGCCAAAAGACTTTCTGTTTGCTAGCGAGAAGGGTGGTGGTGTTTCGGTATGTTTCTGGGTGATTCTGAGGCCATGAAGGTCCAGGTAGGTTCGGACTGTAAGCGAATGAAACAGCGTGAAAGCTCTTGTAAGCAGAAGGCCTTCCAGTCGGCACTTGGCGTCAAGCCGTTTGCTGTCAAGCCGAAGCCAAAGCCAGGTCACCCTAACTTGGACAGCGCCTCCTGGGCAACCCGAGTCAAACCATCGCCATGGGCCAAGCCCCACACGCACTTTGGCCGGTCTGCACCGACGCAGCATGGAGGTAGTAGCGCTCGGGGTCAAGCCTCAAATCCCATTGAACCCCCATGTAACGCAAAACGCCCAGCAACCAAAAAAGGGCTTCGAGCAACGCAGCACAGCCCAAGAGGGGGCTACTTGCTAGGGCTGCCGGCTGCAAGTCTGGATTCCATGCCTCTGGACCGATGATGCTGGACTCTCTCACTGCCACCACCGTATACCTGCGCCAATCAACGCTGCCAATTTGCTCTGGGCCAGTCCCCGCGTGAAATTTTCCCCAGGTAGGGCTGCATCGCGGGACAACCAAAAGCACCACAGCACCGGGCAGCCGTGCCAGATCTTCCGCCATGGGTCGTAGGCCCCATGAGACGCGAAAGACTGGAAGTCGTACTGCACAAACACCTCAGTGAGCTAAGGCGCCTAGACCAGTGTTCGTGGGTCCTTTGTTCACATCATCCTTGCACAATGCATCTCCATATCTCTGCATTCCCTCTTGGCCCCCTGCATTCCAAAAGGAGGGCAGTCCCCCGCAAATGGGGTTCAAGTAGTTCTTGCACGGGTAGTTGCAGTACACCGAATCCACTTCCGTGAAGGTCTGGCAGCCCGGCTGCGGCGTGTCAGCGATTCATCAAACTTCAAAGTAGGCAAGCTATGACAAACCTCAAACAAAACGGCATCGGAAGCTGTTGGCAAGTTGGGTATGGGTCAAAATGTTCAGCCATCAGGATGTGGATCGCAGGTTTTCGTCCTTGTTTCCATTTACCAGGCTTCAATTTTGGGTACCTATGTTTGACCCACACCCAGTTGGCAAATTGGCAAGCACGGCAAGAGCAAGATGCTGGGTATGTGGCAAGCGCAGGCACAGTCGAAAAGCATGCAGTGCTGAGTGCAGCAAGTGAGGGCCTCGGTATCCGACATCTTGCATGGTTCGGCGTGAGTTGTTTTTGCTTCTCAGATCCCCAAGATGTGGAAGTCGCACTTGGTTACCGGAAATTGTCTGGAAAGCACGAACCGGTATTCCTAAAGTGGGCCTTGGTGTTTGGAATGGCGCGCAACGCGGAGCGCTCTTCTTCCGAGCGTTGAAAAGGACAGGTTATCCCAAGGATCGGTCGGTCCAGAGGGTCTCAGGACCTGGGAAACAAATGGACGCGTTGGTTCGGACACGCAAGGGCACAGAGGATACAAGAAACGCGAATGTGAGCGAGAGAGACTCAGAGAGAGAGAGAGAGAGAACAAGAAAAAAGATAGACTAGCATGCCTATGTACTCTTCTGTCTCCTTTACACTCTTGTCTATCCGAATTACTTGGTTGAGATGATATTGGGCAAGACTAACAAAACATGAGAATACAATAATAAAAGATAAAGAAGAGTAATATGAAGAGATGGAAAATGATGAAAGAAAGAAGAGATACAAGTCATACAGCCATATGATAAAAGAAGACAAGCATATTATACCAATACCCCGCGGCGCGTGGGTTGTCCAACTGACATACAAACAGGATAAAAGGGGACAAACACCGTAATCGTAAAAACAACAATAAGTTACAATAAGCATCATCATCATGATCATAATAATAATAAATGAAATGATAACAACAACAAAAAAAAAAAAAAAAAACAACAATATATAGTTCTAAGACGCAAAGAAACCAACCCTCGCAGTTGCCGAGTTTTGGTCCCTTCCTTTGAAGCTCCGCGCCTCGTAGATGGGCCCCACGTTGCAGCCGCAGCGGGCGCCGTGCACTGCCGCGGCGATCTCTTTGGCCGGGGAGTTGGGGTACCGCGCCCGGCAAACCTCTCCCGACGCGCGAGCGCGTTTGGACTTGGTAGGGGAACTGACTCAACGAGACCCAGTGACTGAATGAGCCGGTTTTGGATTCCCGCGAAAAGGAAACAGGGATCATAGGTATGGAATGAGTGACAACGAGACTGCATGTGTTGGTTGAATGAATGAACCAGTTTGGATGGAGTCCCGAAAAAAAGGAAACCATGTCCGACGGATGGTTTATAGGGGTCATTCCATTTCTCATTCCCTGCTGAGCACCAGCAAGTTGAAGAGGCAAACAAAAACAATTCGAGACATGTGCGGGTTGAACTCTATTGCCCACAGCTATTGCCTGGTTCACTGCAAAACTGCCAGCATCCGGTTCGACCGCAGAAGATTCTCGTCCCAGAGGCTCCATAACATGTATATATACATATATGAAAATTGCCACCAAATCAGGCGGGCCCTGCTTGAGTCCTCTGATTTCTTTTCGGAAAGCCCAAGAAATATCCATGTTGACTATAATCCATGGGTTCTTTTGATTTCGGAAGCTCACCCAGCGAATATCCATGTCCCACACCTTTTGGGATCATAGAATGGCCTCTACGCAGGCAGCGGGGTCGAAATGCGTATCCTGCTCTGCGTCCCGCGTGATCGCCATTGAGGCCTGGACAGGGGCAGTTGGAATGAGGCAAACCGAAGTCGAGAAGCGGAGATGCTTACACTGCACGCTTCAGCATGAACTCATGGGATCATGGCAACGGTGTTTGATTTTCGTTCTTTACTAGGGCTGGCTAGGAAAAAAAGGATCCTGGGATCATGTGCAATCAAAAGTCACTGCGTGAAATCTCTCGGTTGCTTGTCTCAGGGGCAATCATGCTGAAGGACAAGCTTTCCGAGGCCCGGGCTATGAAACAGCCAATGTGCACAAACTGCGATAAATTCTTGGCGGCGGTATCCTCCTGCGAAAAAATGCGCTGCCCAGCCAGTCGTCTCGTTGATCTCACGCCAAGTTGGCTGTGTCCTTGTTCTTCGGGAGTCTCTTTGGTTTCCTCTCAAAAACACCAAAGGAAGACCAACTCATGACTAGCAAACAACAACAACAACAACAACAACAACAACAACAACAACAACAACAACAACAACAACAACAACAACAACAACAACAACAACAACAACAACAACAACAACAACAACAACAACAACAACAACAACAACAACAACAACAACAACAACAACAACAACAACAACAACAACAACAACAACAACAACAACAACAACAACAACAACAACAACAACAACAACAACAACAAACAACAACAACAACAACAACAACAACAACAACAACAACAACAACAACAACAACAACAACAACAACAACAACAACAACAACAACAACAACAACAACAACAACAACAACAACAACAACAACAACAACAACAACAACAACAACAACAACAACAACAACAACAACAACAACAACAACAACAACAACAACAACAACAACAACAACAACAACAACAACAACAACAACAACAACAACAACAACAACAACAACAACAACAACAACAACAACAACAACAACAACAACAACAACAACAACAACAACAACAACAACAACAACAACAAACAACAACAACAACAACAACAACAACAACAACAACAACAACAACAACAACAACAACAACAACAACAACAACAACAACAACAACAACAACAACAACAACAACAACAACAACAACAACAACAACAACAACGAGCCACCTATACAGGGGGGGGACCATCTGGAGCACTCGCCCACCTCACTGTGAGCAGCTCTCCTGGACGCCCAGCCGGTTCAAGGGCTCTATCAAGGGCGCCTGGTAGGGGATGCCCTGAGTGCCAGGGCGCACAAGCGCGCGGCAAGCGGTTTGCTGCCGCGCCGGCCGCTTCTCCAAATGTCTGGGGGGGGGGGGGGGGGCGGCAGGCCGGGGGGCGGGGGATTTTGCTTTAGTATGGGGGGGGGGCGGCGGGTCCGGGGGGCGCGGGATTTTGCTTTAGTATCTTTAGTCTGTTAATGCAGCATACATGAATGCGCAAAAAAAGCCACATGAAAGCTGTTTTGCGGGTGGTGCGCATCTGGTCGGGTCTACGCTGATTTGGTGTTGTGATGTTTTGGTCTACTGTGAGTTCAGTGCTAGTTAGTCTCCTGGCAATTAGAGGGCTGCTTCACGCCAGGATTACAGTGGGTGTGCGTTGCGCAGGAGAATTGCTGAGAAATTGCAGAAATCACCAAACTACCTCATCCAGCCCAGCACGACCAGGCTGGCAATTCTTCTCTCCGGGCTTCCACGCGGAGAGGGTGTCTACTTCAGGCACATGGGCTATGCCGGAGAGGGTAGAACCCCACCTCAGACAAAAAAATAGAATCTTGACTAAGACAGCGGCAGTCAAACCAAAAACTGGCCGAAAATTCATGAATACAAAGTTCAAAACATACTCTCAATTCGGCTTTTTGCGCACAAGTTGCCTCAAAATCAAGCGACAACACCTGCCCATGGGTATGACCCACCATATATACATACATATATATATATATATCTAGCTAGAGAAAGAATGCTGCACCACTGAACGCCACCCGAACCTTTTTCAGAATGACTCTGTTTCGAACAGGCTCTTCTTTCGAGATGGAAGCCAGTCACATCATGGCCTTTGATCAAGCCCAGCTCTTGGATAAGGCATGGCTCCCTGGCCAAACCGCATGTTCCGCATGTTGCCTTGGGCCCAAACTGCACGTGACTTAACCCCACAAGGTCCGCAGCCTCCCCCAGGAGCCCTGCGCCAATGGGAGCGCAGCAAGAAGCAGCAGGGCGCTCGCCATCCTGGCAGACGGTGGCCCAAACCGCGGTTGCCGATTTGAGAAACAAAGTCTCAACTCACACATCCAAGGGTCGTGGACTGAGCAACGATCTGGAATTTTCGGGGCCAACAGCTCCATGGAAACACCATTCTAAGACCTCAAACCTGCCCAAAAGAAGTGCAGCCGTAAATCTCAGACCCCCGGCCGGAGCGCAGCAAGCTGCCGCAAGGCGCTTCCGAGGAACCTTCGTGCAGCTCTGCGGTCCAAGTTGCCCGAAACAGTCGCGGCCCACCTCAAACTTGAACCTGGGGACCCGGCGTCATCGCGTCTGCCATGTCATCGGGCCTCGGATTCGCCTGCCTGCATGTAGCTGTGTGCATGTGCACACTCCTAACCTTTGTATGTGCTTGTGCTTGCCGTCGTGCTCGTGTCTTTGTACGTCTTGTGTGTGTGTGTGTGCGCGTGTGCGCGTGTGCGCGTGTGCGCGTGTGCGCGTGTGCGCGTGTGCGCGTGTGCGCGTGTGCGCGTGTGCGCGTGTGCGCGTGTGCGCGTGTGCGCGTGTGCGCGTGTGCGCGTGTGCGCGTGTGTGGGCGTGTGTGGGCGTGTGTGGGCGTGT